TCAATAAGCACCGTTGGCATGCAGCACGCGGCCCCCTCTTTCCTGCCGCTTGTGGAAGCGGCCTCTCCCTGGCCAGGCTCCCTGCTGCCAATGTGTGATTACAGGATTAGAAAGGTGATGGAAATAGTAATCATGCCTGTTTTCAGACAGAGCTTTCCCTCAAGGGACCTTGAATGGCTGTGTTCTTATTCATACCTGCGAGGAAAGAAAACCTAGGGGGCACTGCCATAGATGGGCAAATAAGGCTGCAGAAAGGGCGACAGAGCCAGCTGCTGCTGACCCTCCAAAAGACTGTGTCAAGGCAGAGTTTAGGGCCTACAAACAGTCAATGCTCCAGGCTATGCAAACTGGGCTTGGGGTTGAGACATTACCCATTGTGATGGGGGAGCAGCTTTGGGGCAAAGTCAGCAGCAGTGTGCATCTGAGCAGGCAAATGAACTGGCGAACAAACTACAGGAGGTGGACAGCCATCCTGTCTTGCAGTTGACATTCAAAGAGGTCCAACAGAAGATCTCTAGATGTTGAGCAGAACAGAGAAAGGGAGACCTAGAAATAAACAGAGCACAATGGCTCAGGAAAGAGAGGTTTTGGCTAGGACTGGAATCCTCAGAAAGTAAGGACTCTGAAAAACAAGGTAGGTCCAGACTCAGACAAACCAAGAGGTAAGGAGGGTAATCGAGGGAGTCCAGCATGCTCACCGAACCAGGAAAATGTCCTACTGGAGCTTCATTAAAGGCCAGAGCAGGTCCTGATCAACTGAGTCACCAAAACTAGACTAGACTGATTCTATGGAAACTCGTCTCATTCTGTGGAAAGAAAGGCTTGCTTCCAGCATCAAGAGAAAGGCCTATTACTCTGCTGGGGAATGGTGAGGGAGAAGAAGTAGCAGCACAAAGGCCATCTAAGTGTAGGCTTTTGGAGGTCATGGGGACTTCACATTAGTCCCAGCTAGAACGATGCCTTCTATGCAAAACATCAGATATCAAGGCTGTAGTCTTGGATCCAGTCCACCCTGTTTCACCATGGATCTTAAGCTAGAAGCCTACATTGGTTGCGCCTCAGTTCCTTCATCCTCAGAAGAGACTAGAAACCACCTAACTACTTCCTTCCCTTCATTGCTATGGGGACAACATGAAATAACACACTCGGTCACTTCAGAAAAAGAGAACTACAACGCTTAGCCACTATTACTCGTGTGCTACAGCAGCATGTCTCTACAGGAGTTTCCCAAGGCTGGCTAGCTTAAGGATCATCTAGCCCTTGTTCCTGAGGCCCTTATACTACCCTCGTAGTAAGGACCTCTGTGATATCAGAAAGAGACATATAGACAGAGCAGTATGTTTTTGTTGTTATTGTTTTACTCTTTGCTTTTTTAAGGGTCCACTACCCAGCTCCCAAATTAATACATAGGGACTTATTCTTACTTATGAATGCCCAGCCTTAGCTTGTCTTGTTTCTAGCCAGCTGTTCTTAAATTATCCTGTCTGCCTTTTGCCTCTGGGCTTTTACCTTTCTCTAGTCTATATATCTTCTTTTACTTCTTACTCTGTTGCTGGCTGAATGGCTGGGTAGGCTGGGCCCCTGGTGTCCTCCTCTCCTTCTCCTTTTTTTTACTCCTCCCTCTTTTCTTCTATTTATTGTCTCTGCCTGGCAGCCCCACCTATCCTTTCTCCTGCCTTGCTATTGGCTGTTCAGCTCTTTATTAGACCAATCAGGTGTTATAGATAAAGTAGCACAGCTTCACAGAGTTAAACAAATGCAACATAAAAGAATGCAGCAAATCTTTGCATCATTACGCAAAAGTGCCACCGCATAAACACACATAACACATCTTAAAATAATATTGCACATCACAGAGCCATGCCTGTGGAACTGGTGAGGAGCTGTAGTTATCTGCTCACTATTCTTATGTTAGCTGTGGACAACAATGTACATGTGATGTGATCCGTCTGTCGTCATACTGCTAGTTAATCGCAGATCCAGAAAACTGTGTCAGGTACACAAGAACTCAGTACACCATTACGGTGCTTACCACCTCCCCCCACCAACACCATTGTCCAGCTCCGATGTACTTCCACTGAGTAATTCAATTTTCTACCTATGAAGAATGTTTTGAAATGGGAAATAGTGAGAGGGAAGTCATGGGTAATATTTAAAAGGGCATTTTTTTAGATGATCTAATGACACTTAAATCCCTCTTCCTTTGGGAGCCTCTGCTAAGTACCCATCCCAGACTGCCATTGTACCTCATCTCTCATCCAAATTCCACCATGTTATGAGTAAATTGCTTCCTTCCTTGCCTCTCTCATCTTCCAGAATACAGGTTTGCTTTCATGTAAGGGAATATGTTTATTTTTCAAAATTCACTTCACATTGCAAAATATTGTATGTGAAGCCATACATTTTCTTATAATCTAGAAGTCTAGCCCAGATTGCTTTGAGCCCATTGCTTAGAAATTGTTAAACAAACAAACAGACAAAACCATTGATTCTAGCTAGGCATGGTGGTGTACCTTTAATACCAGTACTTGGGAAGCAGAAGCAGAGGCAGGTGGATCTCTGTGAGTTTGAAGCCATCCTGATATAGATATTGAGTTTTAGGTCAGTCAGAAATACATAGTAAGACACCGTCTAAAACAAAACAACAAAAGCACTAATTCTTATACCGGTTGTGTTTTGGATTTTGTTTTGCTTTGTTAGATATAGGAACTCACTTTGTAGCCCAGGTTGTTCTTGAACTCATGGCAATCCTGCTGGGTCAGGAGTCTCTGAAGTGCTGGTATTATAGCTGTGAACCACTATGCGGTGGATGGAAACTGCACTTTTGTTTCCAGTCATCCAGATCCAAATAATCACACAAAACTATATTAATTATAACACTGGCTAATGGCTCAAGCATATTTCTACCTAGCTCTTACATATTCAAATAACCTATTTCCATTAATCTGTGTGTTGTCATGAGGCTGTAGCTCACCAGTAAGATTCCAATGTCTTTCTCTTTGGGCAGCTACATGGCTTCTCTCTAACTCTACCTTCTTTCCTCCTATTTCTCTGCTTGGATTTTCTGCTTTGCTATATTCTACCCTGCCGTAGGCCAAAGTAGTTTCTTTATTAACCGATGGTAATAAAACATATTCACAGCATCCAGAGGGGATCCCACGTCACTATGCTCAGCTCCAGGTATTTTATTTAGGGTCTACACAACTGGTCAAGTTGCTTGCCCTCTTGCAGTTTCAGATTTACCAATTCTAAAAAGTGGGAGGGGCTACCTGTGAGACACTGGTTTTCAATAGTTAATAAAATTCCCTGTGGAAAAACCATTGACCAAACAATTCCTCTTGTAGAGAGTCATTTTGTGATGCACTCACAAATAACCTGTAGCTATTCATAATGGCTTTATTTGTGAAAGCTAATGATTGGAAACATTGTAAGTAAGCTTGTTAAATAAACTGCTTTTTATAACGCAATCTAAGGCATCCACCAAAGCAATAGTGTAAGTACATGTATTCTGAAACAGCGCAAACACCAAAATATATTAAGTGGGAAAAAAGTACAAGGTGTGTAATACTGGATAAAGCAAGCTTTCTCTCCATGTCAGCAATGGAGAATGTATGTGTGTGTTTACATAAGATAACTCCAGTTCACTCTGGGAGTTGGTGACATTTGATTGAGCCATGTGCAAATAAAGGATATATTTTCAAAGACTGCCAAAGCAAAGGAGGGAGAATTGAAACACCACCCACCCACTTGTGTTCTGTAAGAAGCATCTGGGATTATCCCTGTGATCAGTAGCATGGGCAGTACCAGTGGGGGCTACTGCAGCTCTCAGGTCTTCATTTGCTTCTTCTGAGCTGGAATGGAGTAACTTGGCTATCTATTGAGATTTGGTCTTGATCATCCATAGCAAATTCATATCCCGGCTGTCCAGCAATGTTTGAATAAAGTATTTCCACTCTCCATTACCAGAGCTCTCTAATGAGGTGTGGAAGAGAGCAACGCTCCGCCCATGAGAGCTGGCACTTGAGTCTAGAAGGATCCTCATTGAGCCTGGGCTCAGTTCCACCTCCTGCAGTGTTCAGTCTCCCTGTCTACTAGTGGACAGCCCACTTGACTTTAGAGCCTCAGCCTTTCCAATGATTGTGATGACTAGGGTCCCAGGTAGAACCCAGGAAGTACTGCTTCTAAAGCAGGAAATACGGTCTCCAGAGCTGGCAGTTTTCTCTGTATCCTTTACTGCTTTGCTGGTTCTTTCTAACATTTTATTGCTTTTGTTACAGTTAAGGAGGAGATTCAGCCCCAGGGAAAAGAACAATGAGCTACTGACCAGGACATCAGAGCTAGCTATGTTACTAGGAACTGATTAAACAGAAAGCAAAGTGGAAAAAACTGTTGATTGGAAATCGCCGCCCCATAGATGCTGAAATCATACCATTAGTTATATAAGTTTTAAGCATGGTTATCAACATGTAGGTCATCTCTTTAAATTGAAAAACCTTTGGAATAAGAAGCCTAAAAGACCATTTATTCATCTATTCAAGATTATTGAATGTTTATTCACTCCAAACACTTTACCTAGTATCTAAGCATACAAGCAAATAAGATTATCACTGATTTTAATAGGAAATAGTAAGCATAGTAATATAGTTAATAGCAAATACAGCAACAGCAGTGGCTAGCACTACATGTTTATTTATGTGGTAGGAAGATTTCTAAGCGTTTTGTGTGCCTCTTCATTGAATTAGTTTAATAACTACGTGACGGATGTCACCTCTATTTATTGGAATGAGGCAACAGGCACAGCGATGGTAGGAAATTCACCCAAGGTCTCATAGCAGGCAAGCAGGTTAGCTGAAATGTAAACTTCACATCCAACAGACATTTTTCTAAGAAGTAGCAGTAGCCAGGGGTTGTGATACTAGATGCTGGCTCTCTGTGGGTGTAGAGAGAAGATAAATGGTTTGGTGGTCCTTCAGGGTAATTCTTCTCTAGGTTACATTGGGAAGAGCTCATATCTGCATAAGAATTTGAAGAAACAAAAGATATCGATCAATTGAAGGGGAAATTGCTGGGGGATCAATAAGGGTGGCTGGGGTAACCATGAAACAGAAAGGTCAAGCCAGGACAAGGACCTGGTGGTCGGTGCTATGAAGAAAGAAAATTTTATCCAAAAATAACATGCTGGGTCTCAGACATTCCAGCTACCTGGGGAAACTAAAGAACTGAATCTGTCATTCGCAGCAGTGGAACAAATTAACAAGGAAGGACAGAGTGACAGAAAGAATCCAACTACACGAGTTGTCAGCCAAGGAGAGCCTTCAAATACTGAATCACACTTCTACGTCAAGCGCAGCCAAGCTGGGTGGAACTGACCTGAGAACATGTGGCATAGAGCTTGGCTGAGTGTCCCGAAACTCAGCCTAAGTAGCTTGGAGATGGGTTCACTTGTAGACAGCCCAACACATGAATTCAGGCTGGTCAGGGGGCACTTTGCAAAGTCAGTGGCCCTCGTTTGAGGAGTATGAAAGGAGGAGGACGGGATGGGCTTTAGTCTGCTCTAGAAGAAAATGAAGCCTGTTTTTTCCTTCCTGATTAGCATTTTTATTGCATCCTTCCTATTTGTTCTGCCTGCTCATAATTAAATACTGCCCATGGTGTCTCGTCTATTTTGGTAATGTGCTCTTGGACACCAATGGATTGGATTTAGATTTGCTTTATGGGCTTCCTCCACTGGTACAGAGTGAGGCATAAACTTAGGGTCTCCATGGCAAGGTGGGCTGGATAGGAAAGGGAGACTAGCACTGGGATCAGGAGCCTCCTTACCCTACTGCTGGGGTCCGAACTGGTAGCTTGGATGAAAAATAGAAAAAGTGTGTGTTCTTCCTGTCTCCAGAGCAACTTCTATTCGTGATGGTATGAAGGCACAAGGTAGCTCCCTCTGTGCTGAGGGTAAGGTTGAGGCCCAGAGGCTAACAGTGACCCTCAAAGGTTGAAAGACAGAGCTGAGGAAAAGTGATGAGATTCTTCTGGATGAAGACACCAGACATTGGCCAAACAAAGTCTGATGCTTGTTCCAGTCGCCATACTTTTTGCCCTCTACACGTAACCTAAAGTCACTTCTATGTAGTCAAGGCCACCTGCCTTGGGCCATCATATTCCTTTGCCCGTGCCAAGCCTCCAGCATCTTCTCTCTTCCTCTTCCTCCTGTTCTTGGTAGCACCCATTCTATTTCCAGGGAGTCGGCTCACATACTCCACCTCTATTCTTTACCCAAAGCCCATCTTCCTCCTCTCATCAGGTCAAACTTGAGTCATGATAAGAAGGGATGCATTAGATAGCTGGACCTTATTGAGTATAGGTTTGGCCATCTAGATCAGCAGCTCACAAAGTATGATTCCTACAACCTCCGCAGCAACTTGGCATTTGCTAGACATGCAAATTCCTGGGCTCTACGTAGTGGGGACAGGGTCCTGCCATTCGGTCTTAACCAGGCACCAGGGTTTCTAGGCACTCTCACTTCTGAGAGCCACCTCTTCTTACCGTTTTCCCACAACCTTCCCTCCGTGGCATCTTTACTGAAATCACATCCCCTGTGGACCAGTCTTCTCCCACTGACCCCAGACTCCAGGCTGCTCCACCGTCTGCTGGAAAGACCACTGTCTGAAGAGCTGTCTTTGTCTACTCTGGCATCTGTGACCCTTCTTCCTGGGAGTGCAGCTGTCTCCCACAGTTCCAGCTCTCGCCTCTATTCTGATGATCTCCGTGTGTTTAATCCCTGTCCCCAGTTCTAGAAATTCACTCTGACTGCCTATCAGGTACTTGACTTTGAATATTCTAGACAGCTCATCCACATTTTCCAAACAGAACTCCCCAAGTTCACGTCTGAGGTTCCTAATTTCACTTCATTTCCCATTCTGCTTTGCACGGTTCCTCCTCCTGTGTGGTCCAGTGACCACAGTTTCTGCTGCTACCCATCCTTAGGTGGGCTTCCTTCCTCGGTGGCTCGGCAGCTCCAGCTTGGGCTGCACATCCCTTACTTCTACCCTCTCTGCTCAGCACTGCCAGCATTGTTGTACAAATGCACAGTTCTTTCACAGAAGGGTCTCTGGCCTCTTGCAGTACAGACCCCCAAAGAACTTCCCACCATTTGCTTCCTTGACTGGCTGGCTCCTGTCACTCTCCTTGCTCAATCTTCTCTATCTCCGCCGGTCATGGTCACACTTCTGAGTACTCGTTGACATCCTTGTCTGCACAAAATGACTTTGGTCTCAGAGTGCCTCCCCACATCACCCGTCTAAGTCAGCAAGTCTTGCCTTATGTGCATCCTCCCCTGATGTCTCTCCCCTCTTCCCCCGGTGCTGGGTTTCCAGAGCACATGGCCCTTGCCAGAGTTCTAGCATGCATCTCTTTGTACCAGTCATTTGCCATCCTCCTCAACTGTGGCTTCTCAGCCCTTAGTGTGACTGCTGACACATGGCTGGAGCTACATACACGCTTGGTTGCTGGTTTCATTCGGTGACGACACAAGGCTCAGCTCTTGCACAGCTGCAAGGGTGGTGAAAGAATCCGCCCATCGCAAGCCCTCAGGCTCCACGACTTTGTCTCCCACCCTTGCTGCTAGTCTTTGTGTGTTGGTTTCACCTGCTCTAGTGTTGACAGTAGAAGGAACGACTCGGAGTCACTACTCAAGACCCTGGACTGACAGCCCAGACCACCGCTTAGATCTGAGACTCTCTGCTCCTTCTTCCGGGTTTTCAGCAGCCGGGGCTTCCTGATAAATCTCCCTTATGCAGAGAAAATGGGGAAAGGCAGTGCCCCACAACCCCTAGCCTCCTTATCCGTTCCTGCCTCTGGCTGGTCATTCTCTTGAATCTCAGAGCAGTAGCCACATGGCAATACAGGATTTGGGAGTGCTTCCTGCAGTTCTGGATGCTGAGGTATGAAACCTCCGCAGCCAGCGACAAGCAGCAGTGCCTGAATAGCTCTCAGGGAGTGTTTGGTGACCAACAGAATGTAAGATGCTCTCAAAGTGTTTTCCACTGTTGCTGACCATGCTTTTCGACACAGAAAGGAGTGAAGCACAGCAGAAAGGAGCATGGAGAGACATGGAAAGAACATTTCTCCACAATTTTCTGTTCACCTCCAAGAAGGACCTCTAGATCAGAAAAAAAAAAAACACAGGGGTCTGTAGTAATAGGAGCAGCGGGGCTGCGTTCCCAGCACCCTGGCCTCCTGCCTGGCTAGCTTATGCCCCAAAATAACAACACACAAACTGTATTCATTTAATCACTGCTTGGCCCATTCTCTTCTAGGCTAATTCTCACATATTAATTTAGCCCATTTCTAATCATCTGTATGTAGCACCCCAAGGTGTGCTTACCGGGGAGATTCTAGCCTATGTCCATCCTGGGTCGGAGCTTCATTCTGGGAGCGGGGCATGGCGTCTCTCTCAGGCGTCTGCTCCTGAGAGCAGAGCTGTCGCGACTCTGAGCTCACTTCCTCTTCCTCCCAGCATTTTGTTCTGTTTACTCCTCCCACCTATCCTCTAACCAATAAAATGGGCCAGGGCAGTGCCTTTATTAGCCAATGACCTTCCTCCATCATTTCCCCTTTTCCGGTTTAAACAAAAAAAAGGCTTTAACATAGCAAAATTACATATAACAAAACAGTTATCAAGTAAAAGTTACAATAATCTTTGTCATAACTAAGGAAAACTATAACTATAACTAACTATTCTTAACTCCATCAAAGACTCCAGAAAGATACAATACTACCTAAGCAAACAAGAAAAAAGCAACTTTTAAAACTCTAGAAACGACAGAGACATCTCGCTGCCTGGACAGTCACCCAAAGTTCTTTTGTACCGTTGGGGCATCCATCTTCAGTCTTCAGGCCCATGGTATCCAGCAGACATTTCCATAAAGCAGGAAAATTTAAAGTCAGTTCAGTCACTATCTGTTGTGTCCTGCAGCATGTCTCGCAGACTCTTTCATGAATCAGGAACCCCGAAAGATCATCTTACCTTAGGCAAGTTCAGTAGTCCTCTCTCTGCGGGTTCTCTGTGTCCAGTTTATGCAATAGTCCAGGCAAGAGCAGTTTCTTGCCCAAATGGCTATCATACTCCATAAGGTGCCTCTTTGATGCCCATCTTCCTCTTGAAGTAGATTGGTGCTGCCAGGAGCAGAGTGTCTCATTGTCATGAAAAGTCCTCAGTTATTAAAACATTAAATGTCCTATTCTGTAATCTTTGAAAGACATGAAGAATGTCTATCTAAAATATATCTCTATATATCTAGAAAATCTAACTAACATGACTACAAGCTTTACTATTATCGATGATTATCCATTAACAACCTATATTTTTTAATTATACAGTACATATTTAAATGAACTACACAATCACAATACCTTAATCAAAATCAGAAACACTTATACATATAGCAAAATTGACCTTAAATCTCTATCAATAAAGCAAAATCTATACTAATGTAAATTATTCATATCTATATCATATCCCCCTTTAAATGTAAAAGAACGTTTATAAACCATATTTGGGTCCCCAAAGTGCCAATTCCTCCTGTGTCTTGCTATTAGCCCTAGGCTGTACCCTTCCAAGTTGCTGGCAGACAGAGGTAGACAAACTAGCTTAGAGACACCTCTAAGTGAATTCAATTACCATAGCAACCAAAACTACCAGCATGGAGATTCGGCTCTAGACAGCAGCAATCCTGGCATCCCAAAGAAGCAGTCAGTCAAAGGCCACTGCTGGGAGACCAGGGGGTAAGGGAGGGCAGAGGCACCTCCTAATTCACTTAGGCTTGAGGGGTTGTGCAGAGCTCTTATTAGCCAGAAGAGAGCATCTGCTTTCCCTACCCTACGTGGACCTAGAGCAACGAGCACATGCTGGCCTCTTGTTTCCAGGTGTCCTTCCGAGGGTGGGCAGGAGATCAGCCTTCCTACTGCACTTCTCTGAAGTGTAGAACTTCAGAGTCAGAGCTCCCTGACTGGGAGATGG